GCGCGGGGTTTCTGAGACCCCGCTGCTGTCCCTACTGGCGGGGCGTTCCCAGCTCTGCTCTCCACACACCCGACACGACAAAAGACGAGCGACTCCTGTGTCCGAGCTGCGGGGTTTCGGACTGAGTCGCTGTCACCTATTCGCCCTCCTCACTTCACGTGGGAGTGGCCCCGCAGGCCCAGCACTGAACACCGGACTTTTCTTCCTCCGTCCCAAACAGGGTAGGCAGTTCCAGCAACTTCCGCCGCCCGGTGCTTCAATTTATGTCGCCGTAATGACGCCACATCCGCAGTCTTGAGAGCCGGCTCCTCACCAGGAAAAGAAGCGTCTGGAGTGCTGCCGACGCAGAGGACACGCACCTTGGGATTGTGGGAAATGTAGTTTCCTTGCCTCCGCCGAGGATGGGGCGGAGTTTACGATAGGCGCGAGGGCAGGGCGGCGGGGGCGGTCCTCCTAACCGGAAAACGTAGTTTTCACAGTCCGCCCGATCCTCTGGTCTGCAGCAGGTGTGGGCAAGGGCCGGAAGTGGCAGACTACGGAGCACAGTGTTCTGTTCCATTGTTGGTGTCCCGTCAGGCTGCGTTGGTGGGAAGCCTGGGGGGCGCAGGGGCCGCAGCAGGCGGGCTCTGGACCCAGGCAGCGTGAGTCGCGCGGGGTGAGGCTGGATTGGGGTCGCCCTCTCGAGACCCGGACTCTCCCGTGTGTCTGGCGTCCGCACCGACGGTTTGGGTGCACCGGGGAGGGAGTGACCTTCCCGAGATCCACAGCTGAGCCCGATTCCGTCGTTTTAGGGAGTTAGCTTTCTGCAGCCGTGTCCTGACAGAGAGGGGAACTGAAGTGGATGGGGGCATGGGAGGCCCCACGCCTCACTTCTGAGGGCGCTTCCCAGCCGCTCCCACATGGCCTAAACGGGCACTTCTTTTGCAGCTCCTTTGAGCACTTGAGCCGCTGCCACACACGGACCATGTTCCTGCTGCGTCTGACTTCTCAGCTGGTCAGGGCTGTTCCCTTGGCAGGTAGGAGGCCTGGTGGGGCAGAAGGGCATAATACATCCGGGTTAGGACTGCGGTGGGTCTCAGCAGTTCATCTGGCCCTAGTGGTTATGTCTCACCAGCTGCAGTGAGGGACTGGAGCACTCAGACTACTTCCCCTGTAAGTGTAAAAGTACCACAGAGAGAAATACTGGGCTTGAGAACAGCAGGGATTCAGGCCAGTATTGAGGGTCATCCCTTCTGTGTTCTGCTACCCAATCCCAGCAGGCCTGGGTGGTGGCTGTACTCTGCTCTAGCTTCGTAAATGATGACTGCCATCTCATTTTGCACAGGCTGCAGTCTGCTCAGGCCCGTCTCAGGGATGCTTAGCCATACCTGCAGGCCCCAATACATCAGACAGCCAACTGGCCCTAGTAGGGCTGTCTCCCTCCCTGGCAAGGGGAGCCTTCGAGAGCTTGAAGAGATGCTGGTCCCCAGGAAGATGTCCATCAGTCCCCTGGAGAGCTGGCTTACTGCCCACTACCTCCTGCCCAGTCTGGATGCTGGGGCCCCAGAGACTGTGGCCCCGAGCCAATTCTATGAGTGTCCACCTAACCAGGTTGGAGGGGAGATCAAGCAGGGTGGGGAAAGGGTCCTGGATATACCTCGGATGGAGTGCAAAAATGTGCTGAAGATCCGCCGGCGCAAGATGAACCATCATAAGTACCGCAAGTTGGTTAAAAGGACTCGATTCCTGAGGCGGAAGGTCCGAGAAGGACGCTTGAAACGGAAGCAGGTGAGCATTGCCCCTCCTTGGCTCTGGGTGGGCAAAGTGGCTGAAAGTGCATGTCTTTGCCACAAATTTTAATGCCTCTGCCCTTGCAGATCAAGTTCGAGAGAGACCTGAGGCGCATCTGGCTGAAGGCAGGCCTGAAGGAAGCCCCTGCAGGCTGGCAGACTCCAAAGATCTACCTAAGGGGCAAATGAGCCCTATGTCCTCCCCTGCTACTGATCCGTTGTAATAAACATTCAGAGGACTCAGATGTGCCAGGTTGGCCTGGAACCTCTTCTACCTGGTGTGAGCTATCTTGGCATGAAGGCCGGTGCCCACCTCTGGTGTTGTAGGAGCCAAGGACTCTGAATGGCAGATCGGCTGTCCCTTCCCCTAGCTGACTCTTGCCTTCCATTCTGACAGTGCTGGGCCTTCAGAAATGTCAACCTCACTGCGGATGAACATGTGCTGTGAGAATAGCTGTGGACAGAACCCTGTCCCGATTGTAGTGTACTTACATTCCCTGGAGGGAGGCCCTTAGTGAATACACAAATAGCAGAGTCCAGTGGGATGACACTGGGGCTTAGGGAGTGCCCCGACTGTGGTGGGGGTGTGATTAGGTTTATATTTTATGAGTGAAAGGCCCTGGTGCCCTTAGAGATGGTAGAAAGTACCCTGCAGGCTCTGAAGACCTGGCCCTCCAGTGGCCTCAGTCATCTTGCTCAGCTGGGATAGTCACGTCCAGCCATAGGAACCAAGGTGCTAACATGGCTGCTGACCTTCCCAGGCACCTCACCAGGTCTGGCTGGGGACCCCTGGCCCTCTGTTGGCTCCTCTGCAACTTCCTGGGGCCTTGAGTGGGTGTTGGGATAATCTAGAAGGGTATAGCCTGGAAGGTTCAAGCTCAGTGTTGACTGGGAATTGGGGTGCCATTTATGGAGCCAGAGACCCCAGTGGTTCTAGCTTCCTCTTAAGTGAAGAGAAATAACATGAAGGCATGGAGGGCAGGGCTGCAGGCAGGGTAGCCTGGATAAGCACTACGAATTTGGTGCAGGCCTTTTCTCATTCATTCTGCTCACTGATACCTGAGTTACAGGAGGGGAAAACGGGCATGTCGTTCTTGTTCATCGGTGAAGGCTCTTGTGCAGTGGCCTCTATCTCCCTGCCCCATGTTAGAGCCATGCCACGTATCAGGGTTGTGAGGGCTTCTTGTTGCTGCCCAGGGCTTCTCTGTGACTCATGAGACACAGAATCATGTCTGGGGCCTGGGTTTGAGTTTCCTGCAAATTAACAGCTTCCCTAATTTGAGTATGGTTTCGTGTGGTTTCTCTCTAGAACAGACTGTCCCTAACTGTATATTGTTCCAGAGAGCCCAGTGGCTGCCTGCCCTGCACTTGCCAAACCAGTAAACAGACTTCTAAATAGCTAGGCTCATCTAGGACCCTGTCACTCAGGGGAGATGATTTCACATAAGAGCTGTGGATAGTGGACTGTGGGGCTTTTAAGACTAGCAGTGGCCTGAAGTGTCCACATGTGGACACTTGCGGGTATAGGAGTGCTTCTGCTGGTGGCCACAGGAGGGCAGCAGCCGGGCTCCTGGCAGCCCCTGAGGTCCAGGGCTGAGGTCCAGAACTGCTGGCAGGAAGCTCTCTTGAAGGCCCCCAGCTGGGGTCACGGGCCTCTTTCCTGGGTCTCTGTTTCCCCAGCTGTGAGCAGGGTAGGTGCCCCAGTGGTAGGATCTGGAACGAAGGGAAGCATGCCCTCTGATTGCCAAGTCTGACTGTACTCTGAATCTTGAGCAGCCCCCGTCAGCCACTAGTCCTTGGCTGGTACCCATGGCTGCTGAGCAGCTGCTCCCGGCATTTCCTTCCAGCCCTGCTACAGGAGCTATCCTGTGGCTCACCCCACCCTTCCCCGGGTTGGGGGAGGAGAAGTGGGATGCTGAGCTGTGCTGCCTGGAGATCGTCTCCAGAGCTTGGCTGGGCAGTCTGCACAGGGAGTGGCAGACCCACATAGCCCAGGCACAGCCTTGACTCCCACCTTGGCCTAGGTGCCTACCTATAGGGGGTCCTGGGATGCAGGTGGCTGTGGGGGCCAGCCTTGGCCTCACGATTCCTCCAAGGCAGTGGTTCCTAGCTACATCTAGAAATGTTTCTGGTTGTCACTGGGGGGAGTGGAAGCCAGATATTGCTGAATGCCCTACAATGCACAGGACACCCCACCAGAGAACCGTCTGCCCCAGATGCCAGCAGTACCTTGCCCAGCTCCTGCCCAGGCTTTGCTCTGTTCCCTTCCTGAGGGCTGGGACTCTGGCAGACCTTTTTTCAGGCCCTCCCAGGATACAGAGCTTACACTGCCTGTGGCTTGGAAGCTTTTGAGCCCAACCACGGCATCAGGAGGCAATTTTGGGGTTGTATTTTTATCTCTGCTGCTCCTCCCAGGCCACAAGAGCCCATTCCTCCCCTCTCCTATGGGCTTTCACCCTGCCCCCACCCCCACCCCAGCCCCGTGTGACATGCAGCCTGTTCTTCGTCTTCCCCTGTTCTGGTCCTGGGCATCCCTGGAGTGAGAGGACTGAGAGTGCTTGGGGAGGGGGCTGCCCAGCTGCCTATGTGATGTGCTTTGGTCTGCTACCTCCCCTACCAGTGGTCAGGGCTTGGTTTTCAGTCAGGAGAGGCCCCAACCAGGGTTTAGAGTTGGTGGGGGAGGAGAGGAGGGGCTAGGCACATCCTGAGACCCTGTCTGTTGGGCCTGGTTGGGAGAGCTGGTGACAGCCACATTAATAATGGGAGGTCCCGATGAGCTCAGGCCTTGTTACTTGGTTGCTGCATGCCTGACCTGGCCAGTGTCTTCTGGCATTCCACCAAAGCTGGGTCCTGGATCCTGACCTACCCATGGTGCTACGCTGTGGAGCTTTCATGTGAGTTCCCATCTCCGTGAGGAGTCTTGGCTCTCGCTCCTGGGGCTCCAGCCAGGGCCCTACTCATCTTAGATGCATGTGAGTGGGACACAGCACATGTGTTCAAAGCAAGGCCCCGAAGCTCCAACAAGCTGTGCTTCCTGCTGCTGCTTGAGCACGCAGGCTGATGACAGAATGAAAGAAACCAATTCCCTTGAGCTGGGTGTGGCCTCCCACACTTCCTCCAGAAGGGTACTGGTGCTGGAACCTGGGTGAATGGAGGGAAAGAACATTCCCACCTCTACAGCTGGAAGCATCTGTCTTGAGGATTTTTTTAAAAAATATTTTATTTTATTTAATCATTTTTTTCCAGAAGGGTACTGGTGCTGGAACCTGGGTGAATGGAGGGAAAGAACATTCCCACCTCTACAGCTGGAAGCATCTGTCTTGAGGATTTTTTTTTTAATATTTTATTTTATTTAATCTTTTTTTTTTTAATGTGACCAGAGAGAGACAGAGGGTGAGAGTGAGAGAGAGAGGAAGTGAGAAAGCAAGCCATCAGATTCAGGATTCGAGCCCTGGTCAGCCATGTGAGAGTGGCCAGCGCCTTAACCACCACGACACTTGCTTGTCTTGAGTTTTTTAAAAAGCCCCATCTCCCAACCCTAACTTTTCTTCCACTGGCAGAACTGAATGGGGTGAGGAGTCCGGACTTGGAGAGCCATTGCTGGGGCATGTCAGAGCTGAGGGTAGCAACCTCCCGTGCCGCAGCAACCTCCCATGGTGCAGCAGTCCCAACCCTGCCTGGGCTCCTGGAGGCTGGGCCCTGTGCTCACTTTCAGTGCTGAACTCCAGCTGGTGGGGCACCCTTTGACCATTTGCAGATGAGGAAACAGTCCCACCATGTTGGAGTCACACAGCAACACAATGGTAAGGCTGGGAGTTGACCCCGTACCTCTGTAACCTGGAAGTGGTATTTAAGCTGCACAAACACAGACATGTTTTTCAAGCTGCCAGGTCCAGGACTCTTAACTGTGCAGTCGCACATGTGGGATTCAGCCATTAACTGCCACCTTTAGTAGGTCCAGTTTTGTCTTTTCTTTTGCATGGTTTTCTACCTATGTCTAGTTCAGCCCCAAACTTTTTTTTTAAAAGAGAGATTTTTTGCTATAGCGCACATGTGCTTGCTGGAGAGACAGAAAGCAAAAAAATCACCCCTTGGGATGGTCACACTGCAATCCTTTCTCCTCCGGTCTCTTCTTGGGATTTTGGGCATGCACACACAGTGCCTGGCATGAGTTTCAACCTGCCAGGTCTGGGGCTTGAACCATAGTCAGCCATGTGGGAAGCCAGTGATGTAACCATTACATCATCTGCTGATCCCAAGCCCCAAACTTTCTGACAGAAAGTCAAAACTCTCAGTTCAGTCCACTTTGCAGGTGGTTCTTGTTTCCTTGGAGTCACCACCTGTTATGACCCCGTCTTCTGCACCATCTGGGCTGCCTGCGGGCCTATGGCTGCTAGCAGCATCTTCCCACAGACTCCGTTTGCCTCATTAGATGGATCCCTCTTTCTGGATGATGACATTTTTCTCTCTCTTGTTTTGCTCTTGTTTCATGGAGTATATTGTGTAATAGCTTGTTGAGAAAGCATGCTTGGTAGATTGATTACAGAAGAATAATTATGTTTTTTTTTTTTTTGAGAGGTTTTTGCTATAGGGTGCATGCACTCGCCAGACAGACAGAGACAGAGAGACAGAAAGCGAGAAATCACCCCCCAGGGGGATGGTCACGCTGCAATTCCTTCTCCATTCTCCTCTCGGGATCTTGGGCAAGCACGCACACGCGCCCGGTGTGAATTTTAAGCCACCGGGTTCGGGACGCGAACCACGGTCGACTAGGTGGGAATCCAGCGACATAGCCATTACGCTAACTGCTGGTTCCCAGAAGAATAATTATGATTTTAAAGTTAGTTTTATTTATTGTTTGAGAGAGAGGGAGACACCCTCAACAAGATTTTCGTGCTGCAATCTAATGCCAGCCTCAGTTAACCAGAATCATGGGTATGTACAGGGGTACCTCACATCTTTAACCCAGAACATCCCCAAATGGCTGTAGCATCATGTAATATTGCATTAAAAATTATTTTTAGAGAGATTTTTGCTATAGGGTATGTGTACTCACCAGAGACAGAAACAGAAAGACAGAAATCACCTCCCGGGGGCATGACCATGCTACAATCCCTTCTCCATTCTCTTCTTGGGATCTTGGGTACACACACATATGCACCTGGCATGAGTTTCAACCTGCCAGTTCTAAGACTTGAACCATAGTCAACAATGTGGGAGTCCAGCAACATAACCATTATGCCATCTGCTGGTCCCTCATGGAGT